ACACACACACACACACACACACACATTCTTGAAATTTAAGCAAGTGAAAATAGAAACCCACAAATTTATCAAAAATATGAACGGTAAAAAATCAGTTGTGAAAAAAACTTCAGTTTTTGGTTGCAGTGATATGAAAAGAAGCCCATCTGAATTAGCCCTCCAAGAACTTTTTCCTTCGGAAGATGAGAAGAAATCTGAACAAAAAGCCGGGATTTTTGGAGGGCCTGATGACGAGTTCTTTGCTGGGGATTTGTCATTTTCTTACAAGAATTTGGTTAGTTTTAATCCCTTTGAATTGATCTTTTTCTCTTGAGTTACTTTCTTTGAGCTTGAATCAAGAAGAATTTATGTGATTTTGTGAGTTGAGATTTGGCAAGAATTGTTCTAAGACTGATATGTTTATCCTTTCAAAATTTATTTTTAGATTCGACGGTGGGCTAAAATTTAGATTTGAATTGACTCTAGCTTTTTAGGAGTGGCCTAAGTACATGTTGATTGGGTGGCTCATAGGTTCGTATATGGGGCCTAGTTGATGTAGCGGTGGGGACGGGCCAATAGGCTAGGACCCATCCCATACAATAGTCGACGTAGGTACGTTGTCTAATCACTTAAATTTGTGTACAGACTTTTCGATTTTACTGCTCACGTTTTGTACAGCAGTATTCTATTGTAAAATCTTCCACTTTCTCGATTATTGTTAAAATTTTGTGACAGTTAGTGGAATTAGCATTAGTATGGAGGGTGAACAATTATAACTAGTGTTCCTATTTCAGTTCACTATGGTTCAGAGAGTTAGGGATTATGGTTTAATCCGTAACATGAATAGTATCATCAAGGGAATGCTATAAACATCTATCTTGGACTAAACAACAGTAGATTAAGCCTTATTCTTGACAGACTTAAGGTCCGGTCAACTAGGTGCTCTATAGCACGGACCCTCTAATTAGGGCAGCGTGTCCGTGTCCGACAGTTGTCTATAACGACACCTTTCGGACACTAAATTTATACTATACAAATGAAGAATTTAATCAACGTGTCGACGATGTGTCGTTTACTTTTTTGAAAAATCACTAGTCGACGTATTCGACACGTATTGTGTTGGACACACATGTTCGTGTATGCATCATAGACTAGGTGAGTGACGAAACTGTCTGATCTAAATTTACTAAAGAATGAATCAATTTTCAGTTTGCTTATAATTTGTTGGATTATATAGATTTCATCCGTTATCCAGTTTTCTTAATTGTTCTGCCATTATTTCTAAAGTAAACTAGCTTGTTACTCAACCATCATCGCTGCAGTAAACTTGGTGGGGAGTATCAATCATTTGAAAAATGAAATAATATGATAATTATTTGGAGATATAATATATATATATTGAGAAAGAAAGAAAGAATTGTTTTTGGTATTATAGATGCTTTATAAAGTAATGATTTGTAGAAATGGAAGCATGATTCAGTTAATCTTTTTAATGATTCCTGCATATCGAAGGAATGAATCTTCATGAAGCATCCCATTCCTAGAGAATCAGTACTTCAATGGTGTTTGAAGATAAAAGATCTATGCATGAGTATCTTATTTATATATTTTCAAATTTAGTATGTCTTGTTAGCTATATATTGTACTTCATAAATAATCATGATGTTATAAAAAAGCCAGAGAGAATAGAAGGGATGCATTTCATGAGTGTGTGCATATTTTTCATCAATTCGAAAAGGCCCTAAAGAAGAATCAATTTGCCATAAAAAAATTCTCTATCGCTTTACTGATTGCAATACAATATATCCAGTCTCTTTTCATTAAAAGAAGTATCAGTAAACATGCCATGTATACGAAAAATTGCCAGTTGTTTTAACGATCAGTTTCCAAACGATGTAATTCTGAAAGTACTAAATGCAACAAATGAGAAGACTGAACATCACAACTGGGGGAAGAGAACAGGACAAACAGACTTTAATTCTGAAACTAATTAAATATTTTTAACCTTATAGCTTCTATTATGGTATTTTACTATTTTGGTATTACTCTTTTCTGCATTCAAGCTAATGCTATTAACCTTTGAATGATTTGAATGTGTTCATTTAATTAAGAAGCAATATTTTTATGTACTCTGCAATACCAGGAAATGATAAAAGGGTTGTCTAGTTGTAGCCAGTTGGCTAATAACCCATATTTGCCCCAGAATTTCAGCACTAAGGCTTCTAAGTATTCTGCTACAATCGATTCACAATCATCAATAAGTGGTACGTACAATGCCATGAGATCATTATCCGTACAATTATTTATTTCCTGCATTAATACAAAGTTGCTCGCTAGTGGCACAAAGTTAACTCATCGGTGTTTAACTTCATTGATGTTTCACAATAGATTTGCTTTATCAATTTTCAGCTGGTATTCCGTCATCAGCAAGTAAGCCAAAGGGACAAGATAATCGAGCAACTGGAGCTAGCAGTGGTTCATCCCATGAGCAATCAGATGAATATGATCAAGAGATAGAAGCTGGTCCTTGCGAACAGAGCACTAATCCTGTCGATAGCAAACGCATTAAAAGGTACAGTGAATCAGCCTACTATGCTTTAAGCATATTGGATACTGAAGTAGGAGTTAAGAAGATATGGGGAATTATGATTTCAGGATGGTTTCAAACCGGGAATCTGCTCGGCGCTCGAGAAGAAGAAAACAAGCACATTTAGCCGATCTGGACCAACAGGTACATATGTATCTAGGAATTAAATTCTCTGTTCAGTCTTACTATTTGCAAATCAATGTTTTACGTTGCATTTGTTTGGCAAGTGTTTTAAACAGACAAAAATGAGTGTTAGATAAGTAGGTTTGTGGGTCCTGCGAAACATGCAGATAAATAATTGTTGACTTTTAGCAAGTGTTTCTAAACACTTGCCAAAAGTTCTTTTAGGTTGTTACAATTTTCATAGTTTTTTTATTCATCTATTCATGCTGAACATGATTAGGAACTAGAAGGGACTTTCTCAGTCTGTATGCATTGTAATCTTTTGTTTTTTCAAAAAATTTTGTGCAATTATATCTTACTTTTTATAAAGAAATCTTCTTCCAAGAAACAAATTTTCTTAAGATTGAATATGGTACCCAATTACTTAACCTGAACTAGTTTTGGTAGAAGCCTATTCGAACCTGTTGATTTTCTTAGAATTTAGATTTGAATCCATTGTTTCTCTGGGTAATTTTAATCAATATTCAATGAGATTTTAGAGTTCATCATTTAGTGTCGTGAGGGTATTAGGTTTACAATATGCTAGATGATACCCTTTTTGTGGTGAGCTTCATCTGTGTTGTAGAAATATTTTTTGACTATATGCTGCATGCTTCATAGAATCATAATGGACAAAAGGCCTCTTCACCTGTGAACTTAACACTCAAATTAATAACTGTAAAGAGCATTATAGTAAGTTTGGCCACAAAGAGAATACTCAGATAAAGTGTTAAGCCCCCGTTTGGCCCCCATTTTCTAGAAATGAAAATGGGAGGAATAGTATTTTTTTGAAAAATGAGTGGTTGAAAAAGAAGGAAAAGTTTTCGATTTACGTGTAACATTATTTTATGAAAGATTGTGTGGTTGAAAATAGGAGAGAGAAAAATGAAATGTAATGTAATGAAATTTAATGGGAGCCAAACGGGAGCTAAGTTTTTTCCCACAAAAAAAATAAAAATAAATAAATAAATAAAAAAGAAAAACACAAGGAGAGATTTAGTACATCTGTCAATTTTTTTCTCTTCGAGGCAAACTTTTTATCTTTGAAGTAAAATATTTGTTATCTAAGTTTCTGTTTCTGCTAATGCTTTCTCTCTTCGCAACTATCGATTTTCTTCACTCTGGATCTATTATTCGGCTATAATTGGATTCACGTGTACATGATCCCAGGTACTCTCATTATCTTATTTTTGTTAGGACAGTTTATGTTACGTCTTTCTTCCTTCTTTGTTTTCTTAAATTTTTCGTTAGATCGTGATTGCTATTTTCCAACATTTGAATCTGACGATGTTTTTAGCGACGTGTTCTTGCAAACAAGATGTAAGAGAACAAATGTATACCTTTCCTTAGAGAACCCTGCTGATCAGCCTTAAGATGTTTCTTCTCTGGTTGCTTGTATTGTCTAGAAAATTATAGATTTCTTTAAGATTCTTTAAGAACTATTTATACGGTTTAATACAGGTTAAGCAACTGCAAGGCGAGTGTGAAACCTTGGTCAAACAACTTGGAGATGCTACTCAGCAATTCAAAGATGCTGCGACTAATAATCGAGTGCTTAAATCAAATGTGGAAGCTTTAAGAGCCAAGGTACTCTCATTATTATTTGTTCTTCGTTTTCCCTTGCTTGGGATTGTGTTCATGCCATAATTAGCAATGTTTAGTTGTAAACATTACCAGGAATCTATAGTTTAGCTAGATATTTGTTGAAATCGATTGTAGTAAACTCAAAGACATATCTCTCTAGAAAATGCAATGGAAATCGAATTAGAGAAAAATATACCCCTGTTTTGACCAAAATGGGGAAAAAAACTACTCTCTGATGACTTTTCTTCGACTTCAGGTGAAACTGGCTGAAGACTTGGTTGCTCGAGGCTCATTGACCTCTAGTTTGAGCCATCTTCTTCAGAATTACTTAAACACACCTCAAACATTTACGAATATCAATATTGGCCGGATGGATATTGTCTCTCCTATCACAATTCAGGGAGATGATAATGCTTCATACCCAGGAATAATAGATTCAACCCAACTTGAAAATTCTAATACCTTTAATGGCAGTGCCACCAATGGACTCATCACTGATCCGGTCGGCTGTGTGCTAGACATGTGGCCTTGATCTCGCTGGTGTCAAAGTAAAAGACATATTGTCATCTCTATCCTCAATCCTTATATCGAGGTTTCCTCTAAATGTTTTTGTTTTTGTTCTATTGTTTTGAACTTGTGTAGTTGTGTGCTATGATTTAGTTTCTTCTCTCTTTGTAGTTGACTACATCATCTGTGAGTTGTCATGTTGTAGAAATTGTAACGGTGTGTTGATGCTTTATGCGTACATGCTAACTCCATGGTTGTAAACCTTGAAGAAAACCTTCAATCTCCTGGTGTAACGACCCTCGTTTCCCACATCGATTATTTAAGTCTTTGTTGTGGGCTTATAACCATTTGATCACTCTCATTATTGCTAGTTAAGGGCGAGTTATGTACTATGTATTTTTAACAATTGATATCTGAGCAAGCACTGCTTGGATCACGATGCGGACACTTGGAGATGGCTACTTTTACAAGAAGGTTGGGTTAGTGAAGGCGTCTAGTTGAAAATATAAATTGGCATGAAATTGAATTCTTGAGGAGGGTGGATTGTAGTGACCCTTTAGCTCATGACCATATAGCTTCGAGATTCCCACACACTGCTTCCACTGCCTAAAGATTTTTTCTTTGTGCTACTTCATATCTTAGCGAAATGAGATGCAAGTTTGTACCCTTCATTTTCCAATGAATAACCTCATTCTTTGGATATGCCAAAACTACCAACAAGTGGTCACAAACATTGATGCATGTTCATCTTCTAATTTACTCATCGTCTGCCTAGTATACAGGGCATTGGTTTAGGTGCACCATTTGTAGGGAAAGTTACACATTGGGCCCCTTCAATTTTTATTTTTTTGTGGCAATTGGAAAATGAATTAAGCTATTTGTACATCTTGGTTGACATTCCATGATGTGTAAAAATCGAATCGTTGATTGTTTGTAAGTGGTGTTAAAATCAATGGCAAAACTGTGTGCCACATCATGAAATGTGAAGTAAACTGTGTGGCATTATTGTTGGAAATCATCACTTGCTCACATAACGAGTACATTGTTTAGGATTGCTTTTTGATCATGTGTGTGTCTCCAATATTTGCTGAGAGGTAGAAATATGTCTTGGCAAAATGCCATTAAAAAGGACATATCAATAGAGGAGGCTTGGAACATAAGATATTCTATCATGCCGTAATCCTTCTTTCTCCATGGCTATTCCAATTGACTTCTTGTAATGAGGATCGCGCACAAATTATGAAATGGGAGAAAAAAACAAGAAAATCATCATGCCACTACCTATGTGGTAGGACAAGTGAATGTTGAGTAAGCAAAATGTCACATCAACACATTCATCTTAAGAGGTGAGTGTAATTGGGTGTCTCCTGCACTTTCTTCTTTGTCGAGGTGATGAGGTCACATCTCGTTGCCTCGATAGCCATCAACTTCGAGGTGATGATGACATACACCACATCACATCGCCTTTGAGGTGTTGAAGTCACTCCTCAACCCCTCATTGACAGTGTGCCGAAGCAACATGATTTACTGTAGACTTGTCATCTCCCTGCTCTGAGATGATTAGAAGGGACCCAATCCTTAGCCACTTTAGATCGGCCTCCAAAGTTTGAGGCAATTGAGGATGGAGCCTGATGTCTTGTGCAATTTGTAATCTGACAAATTGAGCAATGTGTGATTTGATTCTGTTAAGTTGTCGATCCTAATTATTTGTCAATTCGTGGAAAATTTGTATTCTTGTAAAATTTTATTAAGAAATTGAAGTTCTTGTATAATTCAATTTTGCCCTAAATTATCTTAGAAATAGGGAGCCGTCCTTAGGCTTTATTTTTAATAATTATCATCAAAAAGAGTGAAAGATGGGTTAGAGATGATAGGAGTGCAATTTTATCTTGTAAACATTTATTTTATCTTAGAGAATTTTGTAGCGACGAAAAAGAACTTAGTCTCACATTGAGGCTAACTCTGTAAATCTTGCATGTTCGTGAGTGATTGTTTTTCTTCTTCAAATTGATTGCTTTAGGTGAAATGGAAATAGGGCTTATGACTATCAATAGGTTGATGTGACATATCTACAATGGCGACTTAGAATCAAATCCCCTTATTCTCGCCTATGATAGCATGTGAGAGGTCATATTCCTTTGGAGGCTAGAATGTGGCATCATTTAGCTTGACCCGGTGAATTGTTGAGATGAAATTATTTGTCAAGTATTCGAAAAACTTGAGTTGCACCTCTTTGCATATATAAATTATATTTACCAACTTCCAAATTGATTCTTCTTTCGTGTTTTTTCACAATAAATTATATTAACGTTTATTGACTTGAATGTCGAACTGTATATAATCACATTGTATATAATCACAGCTTTCCCCACCTTGTTTGGAGAAGCCTAGATCTACATCTCTAACATGTGTGTCCAAGTGTGCAGCTAACATACACTCGAATGAGAAAGGAGACGGGATCTATTGACCTACTAAGTTCCATCCAAATTCGAAGGTCAACAAAAACCATAATTGCATAATCATCTAATATACAGAAATATACAGAACAATGAAAACAAGAACAAGAAAGAAAAAAATATCATTAAGCGACTAAGTCAAATACTCAAGTAGACTGAAACATATACTCGAGGGAGTTGAAATTGAGATAACGAAACTTCTCTCCGGTTTTGTATATGTGATTTTTATGGAAAACATGTCGTCAAAAAGTAGGAAACAATTATGAGCTCAAATGCAAAATTATCTTACAAGGAGCATGTTTGGGAAAAAATGAATTAAAAAAAAAAAGGTCAAATAACATCTTCAAGAGACTTTTTAAATATGATATGCTCTCAATTTTAAAGAGTCAACTCTTAAAATCATGTTCCAAGATACTTTTTAAATTAACATTTTAATTTAGAAAGTGAGTTTTAGAGAGCTAAACTCATTCTCTATAATAAAATGCATTCGAATTGTTTCAATTTTCAATGTAAGAAAATAATAAAATAATTTAGAGCTTGTTTGATTGACATGAAAAATTTAGAGTGTGTTTGATTAACATGAAAAATATCACCTAAAAAAGAAAATATTTTCCTTAAAAACAAGGAAAATTAGGCATATTTTCAAAAGTTGGAAAATATTTTCAAGGAAAAAAATAACAATCAAATACTCAAAGTAGGAATTTGGGTGGAAAGTTGATATTTTCCATGAAAAATAAATGTAATCAAACACATTCTTAAAGAAAAGTTAGTTAAAATAGAGGATAGGGGAAAATAATAAATATTTTTTTGAGAATAGTAAAATTAAGTGTTAAATATAAAGAATTTGTTGAAATATTTCAAAATTTTAACTCTCTAAATAATAAAATATGCTCTTTATAAAAATAGAATGTCTCTTGAAGATGCTCGACAATCAATGCTCAGTAGATTCACTCAATGATAAGAAGCTAACATTAAAATTGCTTTCAATTGGTAAGTTCAAAGATATTATAGTTTAAAATAACAATAACAAAACAACAATTTTAACGTCAAAAAGATGGAAAACGTCCTACCAAGAAAGGGGACACTTGAAATTTTTTAATAAAGAAGAATGGCTGAAAAAGCAAAGTAAATCCAACAAAATCAATTTCTCTTTGTATCATCTTAACTTTAGAGATTTTTGATAGAGTAAATGCAATATCTTTATTGAGCACTAAGTAAAATTACGAAGAGATATGGAAAATCATAAATGCCTAAACGAAGGGCAATAAAGTAAAATTACGAAGTGATGGAAAATCATAAATGCCTAAACGAAGGGAAGTCCCAAACTACCTTTATAAGTATTGAACGCAAATTACATCTAATCAGTGTACAACTTTTCTTTTTATATTTGCTCATAATTTGTATTGTTAACTGACCCTTTGATTTTCATCAAGTAAACGGGATCATCAACAAGTAATAACGTAGTTAATAGATTGTCGAACCCACAAGAACTATTTATTTGACCGAATTAAATTAATTGCAATTTTAATCGAAAACAAACAAGTTTTTTGATTTTTTTTTATACTAATTCCTAAATTATTAATTAAACTAGTGAAAGCAAGTAAATGTATTTTTCAAATATGTGATATGCATTGCTAATATTTCGAATCCCTATTATTCTATTTTTAGTGTAACAATTAAAGTGATAATTTGAAATCGTTTATATTGGTCAATGTTTCGAATTTAATGGAAACCCCCTTTCAATAGCGATTAAATATATTCCCCCATGTGGCCCTTTTATCTCTCAATGAAATATGCATACATGATAAATGCATTAACAAGTGTTAAAAACGCATATTGAAATCATATAAAGCATATGTTTATTATATTAGGCTTAAACTCTATTATCTTTTTCGGTAACAATAAAATTCACTAACAATTCAATCGGTGATTATGTAATTGAAAAGAGCGATAAAAACTATAGTAAATATCCACAAATCAAGCCAAATTAAGTCAAAATAATTAATTAAAAATTAAAAATATCATACCAAGGATTCATCTCATCCTAACAATGTATAAACTAGCATAGTATATCAATATTACAAGAAATCATATTTAAGTAAAAAGATATAACTCTGATTTTTGATAAATTGAAAGTATGAAGATGAATCTTGAAATCTTGAATCTCTTCAATGGTTTCTCAATGAATCTTTACTTACGAATTTTATTCATTTTATGATAGTAATTGATAAATATTGAAGTATATCATGTATACGAGAGGTGTCTAATATGTATTTTGCTGTTAGGTATTTGTAGGAATTGAAATTTGGTTAAAAATCACGTCCAAATTGGTTATCAAAAGAGCCTCAATTGAATAAGGAACGTTACCTTCCAGAGTGCATGTGTTTTGTCTCTGCATAGCAATCAATGTTTTAGTAACGACTTTGTCTCCTGATACACGATTGAGGCGATTCAAAGTGAGTAGAAAAACCAACTCAAAGGGCTACGACTTTGATGAAGTAAAAGTTTCGAATTCAGACATTTACTATGCCCAAAATATGTTTACTATGCTGAAAATGAGTCTCAATCTTTGACTAAAAATTTAAAATATAACTTGTGCGATTAAAATTTGATTTGTGACAATTTTTTCATTATATTCTATTCCTTTTTGACTTCTAATTACATCCAATTGACCCATATCAATCTTCAAAGTATTGTCTTATGGTTTGAATAAACTATTGAATATTTACAAGTTGGTCCTTAAACTTTGGATTTCGTCCCTTTTCGCCTTTTTTGCTTCTTTCTTTCAATTCAACTTCCAATCATCGAATTTTATTTAAAAAACGAAATATATAATAAATTAGGCTATAATTATTTAGAAGAACTATTAAATGTCCTATACTTTTATGTTCAAATAATAGTATGAAATATACTTATCATTAACTAAGATGATTGTTTTAATTTTTTTTTCTTATTTACTTGAAAATTTTATAATTTTGAAATACAAAAAGAGAAAATTGCACTACTTATTTTTAAACTAATGATCTAGTAGAAAGTAGGTCTTGATCTTGAATCTTTTAAAATAAGCAAATTAATTATCCAAATCTTTTCATTATAGTAGAATAACAAGTTGGTCTCAAACCTTTGAAAGCAAATTAATTCACAGTTTTTTTTTTAATTATAGTTACACAATCAATCGCAAAGATAATAACTGTCCAAATCTCTAATAAATCAGCACATGGTTAACTAGTGTGATTTCCGCATAAAATAAATCAAAATATCTTTATATATTAACTCATTCAGAAAATAGAAGAGAAGAAAAAAATTTAAAAAGTAAAAGAACAGTTTTCCAAACTAGAATTTCATGCGTCTATCTCGATCATCATCTTTGAAGAACATCTTTGTGGAAAATCTTGATATTTGACTTCTTAGAAAAAAAAAAAAAAAAAAAAAAAGACTTTTTGCTGATGACGTGGACCAACTTCTTTAGAAAGATCGTGACTACTCTACGCTTAGATTTGCGACTTAGATTTCAAATTTAGTGCATGTTTGGAGTGCTTTTTCTCTCAAAAAAATCAATTTTTTGATCGTTATTTTACTATTTCACTCGTCATTTTTTATTTCTTCTTTCACAGGTAAGACTCACTTTTCTCTCTAATAGTAAAAAAATTAATTCTCAAAATTACTACTTAACAAGTCCTTAATTTGATTTCTACAGTTTCCATGGTTCGATTACGTAATCATTATAAACTCTTTCATTTTATTACAATTTGGATCCCGTATTTACTTTCTAATTTATAAATAAAAAAATTAATTCATATTATGTTATTCGCAGCTAAATATATAGATAGAATACCTAAAATTTAAAATTATAAGTAGGCTAATCTCCCACAAATATTTTCCGTCTAACTCCACTGATAATTGTTTGCAAGTTGTTCCATTTATCTACTGTTTGAGCCCCATTCTTTTAAAAATTTATTTTTTCAAAATTCATTTTCAACAAAGTCTGGGCGCGATTTGATTTGGATCGATTTTAACTCCAACCAAAATCAAAACCAATTGGTTTGGGCGAATCTCAACCCAAACCAACCCACTCTATCTCTTAAACTGAACCGAACCAAATTAGTTTGTTTTGGTTCGATTCGGTCAATCGATTTGAACTTTTAGTCCAAAAAGATTTTTTTTGTTCTAAAAAAAATTGTCTAAGTTTTGGACCCACTTAAATTACAAGAGCTAAGATAATAAAATAATTTAATATTACAAGAACTATTGACTAACAAATAAAATTAGATTAATAGAGACGAATTAATAGAAAACTTAATTTTTTTTATGTATTATATAATTTAACTATCTAAGTCTGGAAACACATTAAGTATAACATAATGAGCTTATGAGGGGAAATTTTTAGTACTTTTACATACCAACAATATTATGATTAGAGAGAATCGAGAAAAAGTTATGAAATTAGGGCTTATCTTTTTATTTTTCTATTTTTCTTAAATTTTAAAAAAATGTAAATATGTAGGTGAGTTGGGTTGGGTCGTTTCGATGAACCAGCGGTTTGAGACTTCAAACTATGACTGAACTGACCTATCATGATTTTGTTTAAAAGAAAATCAAACCAAATCAATTATCAATGTCAAACCAATCCAAGTCGGTTCGGTTTAATCGGTCTGGTCGATTTTTCATTTTTTTGCCCAAGCCTATTTTCAACCACACATTCATCAATAAAATAATATTATATACAAATCTAAAACATTTCCTTAATTTTTAACCATACATTCTCTATCAATGTACTATTTAAAATGCATCATTTTCCCCAAAAATGGGGCTCAAACAAGGGCTTACAACCTACTCTTTTCGATTTCCACTACAAGAGGGTCGAAGAATATTTCTCTAACCATCCTCCAACTTGGGGAATATGCCTTCGACACTTTTGGATGTATTCATGAGACGATGGTGAAGTTATGAATTCCTCAAACTTAGGGTACAATAATAAGTTTATGAAGATCTTGTTCAAGTAGCGAGTTTGAAATTGACACGAAAATGAAGAGTTTCTACATTTGATGTATAGTAAAGAAAAGTATGACTATGACGAATGAAGTGTAATTTTTTTTTTTTTTTTTTCATTGTATACTTCCATCTCTGACCAGCATAAGTTTGTTTTTAAGACTTTACTACATGTATATCAAACTTTATATAATGGTTTACATAATATTATATGCCACTCTATCATTTATCAATTTAAAGCACAATCAATTTTTTCATCAAATCTTTTCCCTCCATATCATTTTATGCAATTATTTATGTACCATTTTTATATACAAGTAGCATATTTTTTATTTTTATTCATTTTTAGTCGGAGGTAAGGAGAGTCCCTACTAAAATTTGTATTATTTTTTCTTTCGTTATTAATATAAACATGTCACCTTTAGTTAAAAGACAAATCATCCACCAACTTTTGTCCTCTCAAATCACTAAAGTTTCTCATTTTGTGACCATATTGTTGTCAGCATTACTTTGTGTTTAATCAGAAGCAAAAACATAAATAAGCACTTGATAGCATTAAATTAATAGGAATTAAATTGTGAATATGACAGCAGTATTATCTTTTACACTGATGCAAAGCCATTATCATTTGCATTCTCAGATCCCATCTTTAGTTTTTCACTAGCAAAAACAAAGTCAAGATTGTAAAGGACAGGCACCAATGTTATAGAACATAAGAAAACCAGAACAGGTCCAAAGATCCACAGCATAAGAGGCAGTGCAACGTAGAACAATCTATTTCCAACTGTGTTGAGTACAAATCCTTTCTCGAGAAGCTCCGATACATACCCTGGATTGACGACGGAGGAGTTATCCTGAGGGCAGTTGATGAGGAAATTCACCTGGCTTATGAACCGGATCGAGAGAGAGTAACATAGGAAAGAGAAAAGGAAAACGAGGAGGAGAGTAACGTATTTTAGCGCCACCATGAATTCTCCATGCGCCCCATAGACGGTGTCATTGAGGGGCTTCTTGATGCTGTAAGTACTACTTATTACTGCTGCCAATCCTGAACTGAGAAGGATCGACGTGGTGGCCATGAGCGTCGATCCCATGATCGTGTTTCGCAGTGTCTGAACAGCCAAAATGTTTTTCTTATCATTGTCCTGCATCACCAAAAGTCATGTGCTGAGTTCAAGTCTTGTTTTCCACTTATTCATGCTTGTTGACCAAACACATAATTATTCAATTAAATAATATTATCTTCTCCTCAAATCTTAATCTTTTAGACGAGACATTTCAGCACACACGAGGAGGAAAATTGGTTGGCTTATTACTGAATTTTGGGATGTTATTCTCCATGTATTTTCACTGTATACATCTATCTCAAACATTAACATTAACATTTGAGAAAAAAGTGACACTATATACGCACGCACATAAGCGCCTAAGTATTTATCTAGTGTTTGTTCCTCTATAATGATTCTAATATCTACAGACTTTTTTTTTTCTGGTGGATGTCTACCTATCACCTTTAACAAAAATGGAATTCGAAGTGTGAACCAGCATATTTTGTGAATGTTCGGACAAAATAATCTAATATTGTTCCCTTATGAATCTTGAATAAGACAATTAGAATGAGGAGGAGAAAGATTAGGATTTTCCGATTTTTATGCCCTACAACCTTCGATAATATTAAAGACGAACAAGAAGTTTACAAAACGTGTTGTCATTTCAATTGTTTCCATGTGACTGAAGAAAATAAAAGAGGATTCACCAATAAAGATTATGCCATTTTTCCTGGCTAGAAATGATGCCACTTCTTTAAAGAATATACCGTTTTGTGTTGTGTTATGTTATATAATGTAGATTAGACGGTTCTCCATAGTATTAAATAAAATAAAAAGGTTAAAATTTGACTAATAGTGTGTAGTGCTGTTTATCAAACATGCACTTTGAATCTCTCATTTACTAATTCATTTTGAAGTCATGAGCAGTATAAATTGACACGTTTAGAAACCATTATTATTATTTTTTCAGATAAGTGATTAGACAGACATTTATCATTCCCTTTTCCATTTTAAAATCTAAAAGGCCTTAGCAAGAAATGAATGAAGAGTTAAATAGAAATTTCAAATTATCAAAATATTTTGAGGACCAATCTTCTAAATTCTTTTTAGAAATGGAAATTATTAAAATAAGACAAAACTAAGCATAAGAATGTGAATTTTGTTTGCCACCATTTTCACTCTAATTTTGTATTAACTCAAAAAATTTAGCACCTAATTGATTGAAAAAATTCAGATTTTAATCTAAGTCAAAGATAACAATTAAAATTTTAACCACATATTTTTTGGGAAACACAATTTTTCAATCTCAAATTTCATAAATTTTTATCAAAATTTATTAAAACCTTGATTTTAATCCCCATCAAACAAGGAATTAGTTCTTTTAAAAAATAATTAGCAAATGAAATGCATGAAAATATATATATATATATATATATATATATATATATATCATAATTTGCATATATTTGAATGAAGGTGCAACAAAATTAGATCAATGAAATAAAATCTCCAATAATGTAAAAATAAAATGAATCTTGAAATATTACACACACGTGTGTGTATTACTTCATTATGGCGGAAACCATTAAAATCAATGAAAACATTCTCCAAAAATGGAAAAATTAATAAAGTTTGAAACTTTACATACACACACATATATGAATGTATATACCTTCATTATAGCTGAAACCCAGAATCGACGGCCACTGGCATTAGTTCCAATGATGGTTGAGAATGGCTGTGTTCGAACCTTATGCCATAGCCATAGATGATACCCCATGCATATCAGAACCCCCATTGGGACAAGTATAACATCTAAATAACATTTCTTCCATTCCATCTCTCTCTCTCTCTCTCTCTCTCTCTCTCTCTCTCTCTCTCTCTGAGAAAGTGGAAGTTGTGCTGTTCTCTTCTTTGCTCAGTGGATGCAGCCACATATATATACACACATATATGTGTATGGCAGGGAAAATGAACTTAGACTGGTTTAAATGCAACATCCGACTTAGGAATAGAAACGAGGAAAAGCAATCCCACTTTCTTTATTGTGTATATATGATGTATGTATTGTGGGAATTTTTTATTTTTTATGTTTTTGATTTTTTTCCTAGGATATGATATTATATCGCCTAGGTTGTTTTGTTTATTCACGAGAATAGCAATCCAACGTGATCAAAGCAGAAAAAATGGAAATTGGAAATGCAAGACTCGTGAGTTGTGATAGTTTAAATTACACTTATATATAACTATTTTAAATTTTTAAATGATGTGAATCCATGAAGAAGTTCGAGAGATAAACTCAACCTAATTCCAGCAATTTGCATTTTAATTTAAAGAAACATTTGGTTCCGATGCTAGAATAAGAATATTCTGGTTCTACTTATCTTCATACCTGATAATTAATTTTATCAGTTATGCTATATGTACAACTGGGGTTGACAACCACACATATGAGAGGGGGGTCCACGCTGAATAAAAAAATCATGGGTCCCCCTCCTGTGGATATGTTGTCAACCTCGATTGTACAACTAAAATAATTCTAATTTTATCTCTTCCGCATATCCTGATAGTTTATTCTTTAAGAAGCACAAAACAAAATAAGTTATTATTCTGGGAAGTATAAGCAGCATAATTTGGAATTATACGAATTACAAAGGGATTCAATTCAGTGGGCATAAACTCGTTTATAATGTGATTACACATAAATTCTTCAACAAAAGGAATGTTTGATTAGTTCGAATGAACTCTCCATCTTGAAAGATCAATTTTTCTTAAAGGTAGTAGTCCAATCTCTTATCAATTGTTAAGGATAATTGTTCAACATCAAATTTTTATTAGTTGCACCACGTTTTAATTACATCTAAGGTTTCCAATCTTTGATCTTTAAATATTTTCGGATTCGTTCTTATCTTCAACATTTTGGTTAATTAGCATATTTTATCTTTGATAATATTTTCGTCCAAAAAGTCTACTATAAGAGCAAAAACAACTTGTTATTTGCTCATTATAATTTACAAAAAAAATAATAAATAATAAAATGCGATAAATTGTATTTTTCTCATTTCAAAGCACGTGAATAGAATATTTTGATAAAAATTGGTTAGATTAATCATTGTTATTTATGTTTATCTATTAATGGTAGTCTCATATCTTCCTTTCCCAGAGCTACGGTCTGAGGTTTTACACTATTTATAGTAACTTTTAAATCTTTTTGAGATATTGAATAAAACTTTCTTGTTTAACATGATATCAAGCAGATGAATCCTTTTTCGAATTAGCCCTTGTTTAACTCACTTTATTTTAAAACTCTTTATTTCTCACATTCACACAATAAAATATTTTTTAAGTAAACTTAAAACTTTTACTTACTTTTTAACTACGCATTTCTTAAAAAATCACTACTAAAAATATTGTTTTCCTCCGATTTCTCTTTATAATGACCATTAAACATGGGCTTAATGTAGTCTTTGATTATGTTTTTCATGAGTGGCCTTGTGCTGCTCGTCCGGCCTCTTCTTGGTCGCTTTTTTTTTCACCTTTTTATCTTTGATTTCTATATTTTCTTTCTTTTTTTCTTGTGCCGTTTGCCTTGTCTATCACTGGTATATCCACGTTTTGGGTTTTCCCTTTGGCCGGTGACTGCGGTTCAGATTAATAGCAGGTGTGGCTGATTTTAGGCCTTTTCTTCAGATTTTGCTGGTTGTGTTGGTTCTGGAACCACTGGTAGCCTGCTGTTGCAGCCGTAGTTTGTTTCTACCCTTGTTGAGATGGTAGAGCTTATTGGTGTTTTGGGACTGTGGACTTTTGGTGGGGTTGTTGCTTCATATCATGATTGAGTTTTTGTGTGTTTTTGATAGTTTGAATTTTGGGGCGTCAATCATCAATAAAGTATTATGTTTTGTGGATTTTGTCGTGGATGGATTATTTGGTTTACAGGCTCTATTGAGAACTAAAAACTCTTATTCTCACCAAGAGCATTAAGAAAATAAAAACACAAAAGAATACGTAAAATTTGTAGAGGTTCATTTCAATGGGAAATTACGGGTTGTTGGATAACGTTATTTGCATTCACAGTTTTTATATATGCATCCCACTCCACATACATCCCTATTAAAATATTAAAATTTTAAAAAATTATTATTTTCATCCACGTCAAATTCCAATATTATCCTTATTAAATTCATTCATTTGAATATTATAAATCCATACAAATTTTATATATTCATCCCACCATAAATACATTCTTAATACAATTTCGAAAATTACTATATTCATCAAATCACTATCAATGTTTAATCCGATTCTTACTTTTTATTTTCTACATTGTCATGTCAGTGCTATAATACTTAGTTATAAAAATTAACAATTTTCCTTTTCCTTTTCCTCTTTTTTTTGAATTTATAAAATTCTCTCAAAAGTATACTGCTCAGGCAACCAAACAAATACATCCTCAAATCATATATTTATTA